TGTGTGTGTGTGTGTGTGTGTGTGTGTGTGTGTGTGTGTGTGTGTGTGTCACTACGGGGAGACTGGATAGCTAGCTGCTGCTGTGAATGAGAGGTGTAATTACATATTGTTGTTAAAAAATGTACATTGTAATGCACTGAACTGTATGGTGGAAAAAAAAAAGTGTCTTGGTGACGAGGGGTATAAATTGTAAACAACTACAAAGCAGCATTATGCTGAGTTTCACATTATAGTGTCATGCACCTGCTAAGGACAAAGGACTTCACATACAGTGTCATGAGACAGTGTAAAAGACTAGGATGGCTCATATAGGATTATATTTGTAAAGGGAAATTCCTGAAATGTCACAACAAATATGTAGTTAATCAAGGAAGTTTTGTAATTTGAGCTCTTTGTTAATAATTATTGCCAATTTCATAGACTGAGATTTTTTGCATCCTCAGCAAACAAGCTCTACAACCAGCAAATCACCAATACCCTTTATTGTCCGAGTACACGGGGATGGTTAGCACAGAAACAATGGAAACACCGAGTGTGAAAAAAACTCCCTTTTTAAAACATCGGCCCAAATATTCTGAGTGCTAGAGTTGAACAAATTGGATACTCGGAGTCACACTTGGACTGAATTGGCGTTCACACAGGCATGGAATATCAAAGAGTTAACAGGAGCAGTGAAACAGTTGAGAAAAGGTGATCTCCACTCCTCCTGTTACAGGTCTATCCTCTCACTACACGTTACTGTTCCTGGTAGACATGGATGAATGTGTGTGTAGCTCACAGATGGATGGTGCAATCTGAGCAGCAGCAGTCGGGAGACATTTTTTTAAACGGAAAGCAATTTTTATGGTCATGTGATTGATACTTCTAAAGAAATATTTTTAGTCTAAGGGCATTAGTTTTAAGCAAAAAAGTAGAGAAGGCGCTGTGTTACACACTGTCTGAGTGAAATAGTAGCCGACACCATCCATCTATATCATGTTACTTCCCTTTCCTTCTCCTTTGTTACTCCCCAGAGAGGGAGATAGAGCGCCGAGCAAGGTGTTGCTCAATGGCTAGACTGTAATTACCGGTTTGCAGTACGTATTCATTGGTAACAAAGGCTCTGTATGGCACTGTATTTGGGATTTGGACATGTTGGGGTGTGTGTTGGTTTTACTTTTACGACGCTAAACTGTCGGGACTACCTACTAACTTCCTAACAATAAAAGAAGATAATTTATTCCAAACAAACAATAATAATATAAATACAAAATCTACAAGGCCCAGCCTGTTTTAATTAGAAAGCTAGGTTGAGTTGTTTAGAACTCCAGACCCTTAAAATGTTTTTGTGTCCGTGTCCATCCAGATGTCACAGTACCGCTACACATGCTGATTGGCATAGCTTCACCCATGTTTTGGCTACCATGTATAAACTGTGGTTTAAGATAAGAATGGGTAATGACAGCAAATTCAGTGAGTGGCATTAAATCTGCCCGCAGCTGTTCATAGTTGGCATATTAAATTACCACCGTTGAAAAGCAGATGAATTTACGGCTGATGTTGGCTGAGCATGATTAATCTCGGGGGGATTTTTTTCTTTTTCTTTATTTTCCCATGTCAAAACCATGTGAATGTCAACCCAAAACACTCTGAATATTTAATAACAGAAGGGGATTTCTAACATTTTCTCATGTCAAAAATATGTAGTTAAGGATCACTGTTGTCTGCTTTTGTCTTTTCAAAAAAATAGAGGAAATAAGATAAACAGCTTTATTTCAGATTGACGGCCATGCAATTAGAATTAGCTTTGTGTGTGTTTTGAATGGATGATGATATGATTAAGGACCATGCACATGTTCAAATCAAGTCAATTCCCCAGTGTCATGTCAAAACATGCCGTGTCATGGATTGTAGGAAACATCTGTTGTTGAACTTGATTTGACCCAGATGAAGACGGAGCAAAGTAACTGACACCCTGAGTCCCTCCAGTCGTGGAAGAGACAGCGTTCTGAAGATGGTGGAGTAGCAACACAAGCTCTTTTAGTTTTCCTGCTCTGGTCTGCTGTGACCGACCATGGTAGTCCTGCTGGGGACCCTGCAGGAAATTAAATAATATCTTTCATGGGACAGTGGCTGCATAATAGCAACTTGTGTGTGTGTGTTGACAGATATGTACATGTACTCTGCACAGGCTTATGTGCAGGTATGATAGTGTGAAAGTGAATCTGTAACTGCTTGAAGTAATGGTCTTAAAAGAGCGGTACTTTTTGTAAGGATTCCACATTTAGTTTCATCGCTCATTACTTTATTGGGTAGACGACTGCTACTAAGTTATTGTAGTATTTTCTGTACTAGTATCTATATATGATCAGCCTGATGGAGCCAGTTATGGTTTTAAAGATGCTCTACAATAGAGGAGGGCTTTTGGTAAAATACAGAAGTCTTCTAACAAGTCACAGTTGAGATAGTGTGTGTGTGAGTTTTGGTAATTGAACTTGTAAGACAAACAACTGCTGCCAAATCAGCGTGACGTATTTCAGATGCCTTAATGAAACCGGAGCCATTGTCAGCAGCTGTTGCAGTCACTTTTTGGGTCATATATCGCATGATGAATTTTTGCTCTGCCTCAGCGGCAAAGATTTCATGTCTTGGCTTTCTTGCAGACACTAGTGGGCTGTCGTGTTTTATTTTTGCTGTGAGTTGTCTTCAATTCATAGGTTGAGACATATCCAAGGTCTGGTTTTAAAATCCTTTTTTTACACCCTGCTCTATTTTGGATAGTGTGGAGATGTGCCCTCTGTGAGTGCTCAGTTTTGGCTGCCATTGGAAACACTGCCTATTTTCCTTCTTTCTTTTTAGATGTCAAGCTAAGCCAAAAATGGATTATCCCAGAGTGTGCGTGCCCGATTAACATTGTAGCCTAGGCCTCATTTATTCTGTTTGAGTGACAGGCGTAAGGTACAGAGCAGTGTATTTGTTGTGTGTAATTGTTGAGCCTATAGCTAACTGACACTAGTACTTCCTCTCGCTGTGTGTATGAGTGACAGAGGAGGTTAACGGGACCAGCTGTCATCTCTCACTGGTGCTAACTAGCTGCTAATCTCTCTCAGTCTCACAATGACGACATTGATTCCCACAGACCAACCGCCACCCCATCTGCCACACTAGTCAATTAAACCTGAGGGGAAGAGAGTGAGATATACTGAAACATAAGAGGGGAAAGTGGAAGAGAAGGGAGATGAAATTAGAATGAGAGATTTTATGACTAGTTTTGCGCATGAGTGTGCGTGCATGCTTTTGTGCCTTCATGTCACGTAGGAATACAGCCGGTATTGTCCATCTGCCACCGCATGTTATGATTCCCAGAGGATGTGCTGTAGGTTGGGACATCATTTGAGCTTTCTTCATGTTGGACACAGATTTAGACGTATTACATCATTGGGATTGTGTGTCGGCGCTAAGAGGTGACAACTGGTCACATGGCTTGAACCGTCTTCTTAAAACTGAAGGTTAATTAGCATTTCGCCCCATAAAATTACACATCAAAAGTATATATTAGAATAACATATAGCCCGATGCTTCCCTAAGATGCTGTATGTCAGCATAGTTTGAAGAAACACAATCAATATATAATTTTGTTAATGATACAAATTAATTGTCAGCTCCTTTGTGTATAAATTGGTTTTGATGCAGTTACACACAAAGAAAGATGGCAGGAAAGAGGGGATGTTGTTATGTGTGCACGGTGCCTTTAAACAAAATATAAGACTATGACGAAACGGAGAACAGCTCATCATGCCCATTGTTGTCCTTTGTTAAAGAAATAAATAAGCATGCGTCATGCAAGAGTTGGTGTGCCTGAGGCCTCCAGAGCCCAGATGTCTGCTTGGCCAGGAAGTTTCCCCTTGAGTTAATGGGTAGCTTGCTGCGCTGGAGTTATATTTTGGTGTAATTGAGGAGCAATAGAGCGCATTCTCAACCATTATTAATCTATGAATGACAAAACCTAAGAGAGACTTTTTTTTAAGTTCTTCTTAAAATCTGTCAAAGGCCTACATTTCTTAATTTTCCCATTTGTTCATGTTGTTGAGAATCTCTATCATTGACAAAAACAGGAACTCTGTTTATGAAGCTGATAGTGTCAGAGAGCTGTTGATTAAACTTTGTGGTGAATTATTATTGAGACTGTGGTATGTGCTGGTTAAAAACAACAACTAAGCAGCAGAAGAGGGTATTCTGTGCTGACAATATACCTCATTGAGTTGGTCTGGACAATTCCAGCGCAATCTTTTGTCATTTGGATCCTGGAGTGAGAGAGATTAGAGAGTCCCTGCTCAACGGTCATTTAGAGAAAGGCTCATTTGGGCTACAATAGAGCACTCTGTTTATGAAGCAAATAGACAGCAACCCTAGCCCTGATCGAGAGCTCTCAGTCACTACATTTACATGTCCACTAATAGATCACGTTATTGGGAGAAGGAATCTGTTAGTGCATTTGAATGTACTGCTATACCTGATTACTGGGAAACCAACCTTTGCATGCAGCTGATAAGCGATCATGTTTCTTTCCTACTGACTCCCACGTTTTTTAAAGCAATGCTCAATGTTGACAGTTTAAGTGTATAACGATAGAAGACGCAGCAGTTTTTATCTTTCTTTAGCTAATGCAGCATTCAGACTGAGAACAGGCTCTATAATAAGAGGTCGCACAGATTTTCCTTAGTGTGTGCATGTGTCTGAAATTTACAGTATGTTGTTCAGCTATGGAAACCAGCTTATTTGGACTCCTTTATTTTAGTTTCCTTGCCACTTTTTTGTAATTAACAAGGATGCACTGCTGCATGTTCCTATGACCACACTGCTGTCACAAAGTCTCAGGCCAAGACTGCATACATGGCCATAAAAGGCTTATCCAACAGAAAG